AAGGTTGAATAACATGCATGAATGCACCTGGACAAGTAACCTCACAGCCTTTCCACTAGCTCCTAGAAAGGGGGAAAGCGAAGGACTTCTGATCTGAAAAGGCTCCACATTGGAGTCCCTCTCCCCCTTTCAGTATTTAACTAGAATTAGCAAGAATTCTCCATGCAGTGACTCTTCTCGGGGCAGATGGATGGTTATCAGGTGGCACATGATCTTGGTTTCGCTTTGGAGGAGATATGAATAATACTGGGGATAATCCAAAAAAGGTTATACTTATCTCCATTTCTTTGGTTGACAATACATCTCTGTGTCTTCTTTAAGCATCAGTGAGTACAGGACATAGCACGATAGTCCTGCCCAGAACCTAAGGAAACCAAATGCCTTTATTCTGTGATTACTACGTGAGTTTCTGATCCCATCCAAAACTGACCTCAGCCACCCTTAAAGGCACAAAAGATCTAAAGCTTAATGGCTTGGGGAAATGTCAGAACCATCGAGGGTATCAGGCAGTTTGACAGATGAGGAGACTGAGGTTCAAGGAAGGCATGTGACTAACCCAAAGCAAGTAAAGGAAGGAGCAGAATGACAGTCATTTGGCATCTCTTTGACTTCTATGGGGATGACATGCTATTTTGCATCTGCAGGGGCGGCAAGTTCTTTTTCATTCTTCGCAGATGAAAAATAGCATAACCACCTTCTTTTGAGGTGCTACAGCCACTTTTAAAAGGAGATAGTGGATAGGTATTGAATATTTATGATAGATGTGGAACTAGAAAAATGATCAAGATTCAATGTTAAGGCAGGCTCAGTGGCTCAGCCTGTAATTCCGCACCTTTGGGAGGCTGAAGTGAGTGGATTGCCTGAGCCTGCAGGTTTGAGACCCACCTGGGCAACTTGATGAGACCTCATCTCTACAATAAATAAAAAATGAGCTGGGCGTGGTAGTGCATGCCTGTAGTTCCAGCTACTTGGAAGGCCGAGGCAGAAGGATCACCCAGCAGGCCGGGAGCAGCCACTGCACTCCAGTCTGGGTGACAGAGTGAGACTCCAACTCAAAAAAAAAAGATTGGATGTTGTTCTACAAAACTTTCTCCCTGGTCCTCCCTAGTCTCTCATCGCTCACCTCCATTACTTTTTTTCTCTGAAACCTAACCAATCCTCTTCATATTCTATAGGACACAGTCCAAAGAAAGCAAGTCTGATTGGCCTTACATGTAGCCATCAATTTAAGTGGCCATTCTCCTTTGTGTCAGGTAACCTCATAGGCCAGCCAGTAGATGAGTTACTGATAGACCTCTGATTCAATCAGAAACAACCTTCATGAAGTTTACTCAGGAATTAGCTTTGCATATGCAAAAAGAAAAAAACCCAAAAGAGTAAGGAAACATGAAAAGTTACCATTAAAGATAGGCTTTACATGGCCTTTAGGAGGTGTCCAGTTTTAGGAGGGGTGAGGAGGCAAAAGTTGCTGGACATCAATGTGTCAGGCTCCTTGTCTGGCACTTTACAATTATGACCCTACGTAGCTCAATGTGTAGTGGGTGAATGAGTATACCAGTTCATTTATTCTTCATAGACCCCAAAATGGGAATTCCTCTTGTCCCCATTTTACAGAGGAGAAAAGTGAAGTCTAAAGAAGGGTAGACCCCCCCCCCCACTAGCAGTAATCTAATTCCAAATCAGGAGCAGTGAGCTTCTTTTCATGATCAGTCACACATTCCTGAGGTTTGGCTGATGATCAAAACGGGCTCAAACTCCAGACAACTGGATGAGAGAACACCACCACCAGGAGGACATTCTTTTCCTTAGGGGCAGTGCAAACATGAAAATCTCCAAGAAAGAGGAAACCAAACACAGAGTTTGTTGGTTAGTGATGATTGTCTATCCTCAATAAGAAGAAGAAAATGCTTTGATTTTTATTCTTGGTGTGAAATGAGGTAGCATTGACTTTGAAGTCCAAACACCAGAAAATCTAAGTTTTCTCATTTGAAAACTAGGGGCATGAACAAGGCTGGGAAAAATCAAATAAAGTTATGTGTGGAAGCAAGAAAACATGATAAAAATGTTATCCTTTTAGCTTCCGTGGCTATAGTAACGGCAGTGTCCATTTGGAGCTAGAGGAAACAACATTTTCTGAGTTGCAAAGCCTTTATTATCCTTTGTAACAAGGTTGTGGAATTTTAACAATGAAGCATAAGTCAGAAATTATATCAGCAAGCAGGGACACTGAAGAACTCCCCCCTACACCATCACTTTTTGCTGGGGAAAATTGAATGTTCATCTTAAGGCAAGGTAGTTTATTTACAAGACACACTATTTTCCTTGTTTCTACTTGTTTTGGGACATCCTTACTGATTTTACTATTCTGACCTTTTAGTGACTGAATGTAAACCTGAATTATCTCCTGTGTTAGACAACTCATTGCTTCAAAAGCATGATGTGGTGCCTGGCTCCAGAAAGTCTGAGGCTGTTGGAAAATGTACAGAGGTTCCATTCACCTTAATAGCATGAAATATGCATGACACCAAAGCAGATAGACTTGAAAACTTTCCTTTCTCCTCTATGTCAGCAGTGTGCAGTGTCTGTGATCTATGTGCATCTTGGTCAGATGTACATCTGGGGACAAGTTTGAAGCATATCAGCGATTCCATTTGGGTCATGTCACTCTAGGAAAACCAGTATCCTCTTTTCCAGACCGCCTGAAGTAGCAAAAGAGGCTTTGATTGCAGCTGGAAGGGTTCCAGAACCAAAGTGCTCCTCCCATGGCCCCAGATGTGATTTTATGTTATTTTCCCTAAAAGAAGGAATATGGGGTGTTTAACCCTTGTATAAAAGTTGCAATCACATACATGCACTGAGAAACTCAATCCTGTTCAAAGTGTGAATGCTGGCCTGGAGAACACCATTTGTTCCGCCAATGAAGGGTTGCTCTTCTGGACCTCTGACTCTGACAGGCAGTTCAGAGGAACTCTTGCACTTGCTGAGAGAAAAAGCAGGCTGAAGGGCTGAATATTTTTAAAAGACAAGAACTTCAAAAGAAGAGTCAATCTGAAGAGGGCAGAACAATCTCCAACACAGCTCAGCACACAGCAGGTATCCCTGGGGTTGGGGAGAGGTTTGCTTGGGGTCCAAACACCAGGTCATTCAGTACCTCTACCTTCAGAGTGGATGGGGGAGCCATGGCTAATGCCAGGACAGAGTACATGAATACTCAATGATAAATGCCCAGTTATTTTATTGTATCTCTAGTAGTCCTCCCACATGAGGCTCCTAAGAGCCTTCCTGGTGTCATGCTTAACTGAATTTTTTTATTTCTCAGTTCTTCTTTCTCTGAGGGAGAACGGTTACTCTGAGGTCTCTGGAGACATCATAGTCCCATCTGAACAGTGCTGCTCTCCTGCTGATTTGGTGGAGGAAGCTTTGTCCTTGTTTGGGGAAAGAACATCCTTTTTAATCAAATTTGTAGTTTCTCTGGGAACACGTGAAACTTTGAGGTAGAATGAGGATTCGCCTGGCCAATTAGGGCTGTTAAGCCATTCCCTGGTTATTGTCACTCTCACCTCTAGTGTTTTCTTTGAACAATATTCTCTCACTTGCCTTTTCAATAGTTTTCCAGCAAGAAATGAAGATCACTCTACCAAAAGGCTGATCACCCAGTTGTTTGTGGACATGGAAAGGATTTTTCATGAGTTGTAAAATGTTAAGATGTTGGCTTGTTTGGGTTTTTCCAGGTCTTTCCTGGTGCTGGCACTGAAAATTTCACATTTTGGGAATCATCTCACTCTCAAGCAGACTGGGGCAGTTGGTCATCCTAGATATGTGTCCCTGCCTCTTCCAAAAGGTCTGTCTTCTCCTAGATACCTGCAGAGTATCTTTATTTTTTCTAGTGACACCGCTTTTGCTTAAGTCGTTTATCTTTTCTCCTCCAGTCATTTATCTTGACTTCTGATCCCATATTATTTCCCCTAAATATCACTGTTTAATTTCTACTCCAGCAAGCTTATTAAGAGATACCCTGCTCAAGACCAAGGGGAACATTTTCTAAAGAATATCAGAAAGAAGAAGAATATGAAGTCTACCTAATGTGCAAAGAGCGCTGTGCCAGATCCTTAACACACACCTTGTAATCTTTCCAAAATGGGGTAAAAATGATTATGGTTTCCACTTTTCAGACAGGAAACGAAGAACTAGAGGGTTGTGACTCACCAGAAGTCATCCAGCAAACAAATGATGGAGTTGAAATCAGAGACCAAGTCTTCTCTGGAGAAGAGTAGAAGTCATCCTTGAAGAGAAGTTTGGGATTATAAACATAAAGTATCCCAAAATGTTGAAGCCAAGGGGGGAGAATCTGTAATGGAGGAGACCAGATGAAGTAGCAATGTGGGAAAAACTGAAATACACACATTCTTCTTTTTTAAAAAAACACTCTTTATGGAATTTGTCACCAAGCTTTGAAACATAAAAATGTGTTATGTATAATGTCATTTGCTCATAAAATTATCATGCTTGGTGTATTTAAAGACATGAGAACATAGGAAGAAGGAAAAGAGTTTTGGGGAGATCTTTTGAGAAAAGTTACATGTTTTGTAAAAAATCATATTAAGGATTTTTTAATTTTTTCATCAGATGTTTGCAATTTTATTTTTAGCTATTAACTTTTCCTGGCCTCTGTTAACCTTCAGGAACTCTAAAATGGGGCTTCCCCACCTGCCCAGGAAACCAAAACTCAACATCACTAGCCCCATCCCCTCTGCATTCCCTCTTCTCTAGTTGTGGAGCACTTCATGTGTCTGGCATCCTTGTTTTTCCTGGTTCATTCTCATGTCTTAGCCTTTTATCCAGCTTTTATTTGGTTCACAGTTGCCATTCACAATGGCAACTGGTCATCTCACTTAGCAGAGCTGTGAGATGGGCTGGGGCTAGGTTCAGTTTGCTGTCCCTTTAAGACTTTTAGACCTTCAGGACCGCGTCCGCCTGCCAACCTGCGACCTCGCTCGGCCACCAGTCCACGCCACTCCAGTTCGCCATGGACGATGATATTGCTGCGCTCGTCGTTGACAATGGCTCCGGCATGTGCAAGGCCTGCTTCGCGGGTGACGACGCCGCCCGGGCCATCTTCCTTTCCATCGTGGGGCACCTGCAGCATCAGGGTGTGATGGTGGGCATGGGCCAGAAGGACTCCTACATGGGCGACAAGGCCCAGAGCAAGAGAGGCATCCTGACCCTGAAGTACCCCATTGAGCACGGCATCATCACCAACTGGGACGACATGGAGAAGATCTGGCGCCACACCTTCTACAACGAGCTGCGTTTCACCCCTGAGGAGCACCCCGTGCTGCTGATCGAGGCTCCCCTGAACCTCAGGACCAGCCAGGAAAAGATGACCCAGATCATGTTCGAGACCTTCAACACCCCAACCATGTATGTGGCCATCCAGGCTGTGCTGTCCCTGTATGCCTCTGGCCGCACCACTGGCATCGTGATGGACACTGGGGATGGGGTCACCAGCACTGTGCCCATCTATGAGGGGTATGCTCTCCCCCACACCTTCCTGCCTCTGGACCTGGCTGGCTGGGACCTGACAGACTACCTCATGAAGATTCTCACCGAGCGTGGCTACAGCTTCACCACCACGGCCAGGCGGGAAATTGTGCATGACATCAAGGAGAAGCTGTGCTACATCGCCCTGGACTTCGAGCAGGAGATGGCCACCGCCGCATCCTCCTCCTCCCTGGACAAGACCTACGAGCAGCCCGACTGCCAGGTGATCACCATTGGCAACGAGTGGTTCCGCTGCCCCAAGCCTCTCTTCCAGCTTTCCTTCCTGGGCATGGAATCCTGTGGCATCAATGAAACCACCTTCAACTCCATCATGAAGTGTGATGTAGACATCCGCAAGGACCTGTACGCCAACACGGTGCTGTCCGGAGGTACCACCATGTACCCAGGCATCACTAACAGGATGCAAAAAGAGGTCACTGCCCTGGAGCCCAGCACCATGAAGATCAAGATCATCGCACCCCCTGAGCGCAAGTCCTCTGTGTGGATTGGCGGCTCCATCCTGGCCTCACTGTCCACCTTCCAGCAGATGTAGATCAGCAAGCAGGAGCACGAGGAGTCCAGCTCCTCTATCGTGTGCCGCAATTGCTTCTAGGCTGACTGCCTAGCACCTTACATCCTTTCTTGACAAACCTAACGTGCAGAAAACAAGATGAGATTGGCATGGCTTTTTTTGTTTTTTTGTTTTGGCTTGATGACTCTCAGGGTTTAAAAACTGGGACGGTGAAGGTGACAGCGAGTTGGAGTGAGCGTCCCCAAAGTTCTACAATATGGCCAAGGACTTTGATTGTACGTTGTTCTTTTTTTTAATAGTCATTCCAAATATCTGTGATGCATTGTTACAGGAAGTCCATTGCCCAACCAAAATCCGCCCCACTTCTCTCTAAGGAGAGTAGCCCAGCTCTCTCCTGGTCCACACGGGGGAGGAAATAGCATTGCTTTTGTGTAAATTATGTAATGCAATTAAAAAAAATCTTTGCCTTAATACTTTTTTATTTGTTTTATTTAGAATGATCAGCCACTGTGGACCCCCTTTTTGTCCCCGACTTGAGATGTATGAAGGCTTTTGGTATCCCTGGGAGTGGGTGGAGGTGTGGAGGCAGCCAGGGCTTGCCTGTACACTGACTTGAGACCAGTTCAATAAAAGTGCACACCTGAAAAAAAAAAGACTTTTAGAAGTATGAGACCAGGACTTCCTCTCTTACTGCACCTGGACATCTGGCAGTCACAGTGCTACATTAAGTTTCCTGGTTGATGAGTGGAGTGTGGACTAGATGTCATTTCCTGCTGGTCTCTTGGCAAAATGCCTATCTGTGCTGGACCCAAATGAGGTCAAGGTCTTCAAAGGACCTTCAGAGGAATTTGGTCCAAAGACTAAAAATAACATTGATACCCACAACAGGGGTTGCTTAAGTTATGATGCCTTTATAAAATAGACTACTATGCAGTCATCAGGCCATAAAGATAGATATTTCTGCTAAATATAGTATTATCTTTAGAGAAAAGTGAGAACAGCAAAATAAAAAAGTGTGAAAGTATGTACAAAATAAGGTTGATATGGAAGATAGATGCCTATTTGCTTATACATGCATAAACTATCTCTGGGAATATAGTTAAGAAACTACAACAGAGGTGATTTAGGGGACTGATGACTAGAAGGAGAGACCTGATTTTCAGTGGATATCCTTTTATCATACCTAATTTTTAATCACTTGCATGTTTGACTCCACTACAGTTCACAAAATAGCTAAATATGTAAATATATAAAGGAAATTTAAAGATAATTTCGTACATTGTGTACATTTTGTATGCTATTATTTAATCAAATAAAAATTGCTGATTGATTGTCCAATTACTCAAAGAACCAGAATCTGGAAATATTTGTCCCTGAGAATGGGAAGTAGATGAGCTTGCTGCCTATATGAATGTTCCTCTGATGTCCCTCTTGGTCATCAGGTTATTCCTAAAACAAACATTCACTGAGAACTTACTATGTGCCAACTGTGAGATGGAGCAGTGCTGCAGAGATTAATGACATGGCTGATCACCTGGCTCTCACAATTAGTGGGCGACAGACACCTCAGATATCTTTACAATATAATAAATCCTCAATCCAAAAACACTGGGTGATAATTTAAGGGGGTTATTGGAGGTCCAGAAAATTGCATAATATCAGTACCCTTAAAAATCTGGTTATTTATTTAGAGTTGGGACCGCACTCTGTCATCTTGTTTCCATGTCCAACATCCTATCTTTGTGAAGAAGGGTTTTCTACAGTGATAGCAAACAAAGCAAGATTACAAAGTAGACTAGACATAAATAAGACACTTTGCGTGTCATTGTCTCTCATCACCCCCAGATAGGATAGTCTAGTGACTGGAAAACAAGTTCAGGGCTCCCAATGATTTGGCATTATGGCAAGTTGTATAATTATTTCATTATATATTGCAATGTGATGATAATAGAAATAAAGTGCACAATAAATGTAATGCACTTGAATCATCCCAAAACCATCACACCACCCCCAGTCCGTGGAAAAATGATCTTCCACAAAACTGGTCCTTGATGCTAAAAAGTTTGGGGACTGCTACAGTAGGCTACCGCTTATGAAAAGTGTTGCTAATATGGAGTAACACAAACATCCTGGTGGATAGGAGGAACCTACTGTGTATGCACTTTTAATCACACTGGTATCATCAAGGGTGAAAACAGACTTTTACTAGAGAGCTGGCAGTTAGGAGTTGATATTTTTCATCCCTTTCAAAGCTATTCCAATCTGCCTAAGATTTTGCAAAGGTGTGCAAGGCCTAGAAGTAGTGATCATGAGGGGCCCTGTTCCAGGATCAGTTTGAAACTGAGAGTAGGGGGAAGGGGACAGATGCTAATATGCAAACATGATGTTGTTATGAATAAGATAAAACATTTTTAGATGACACTAATATTAAAGTACAACCTTGAGACCCAAAGAAAGGCAAGAGCTCTGACTTATTATGGTGTCACTGATTTACTAATGAAAAAATACAGGTCCCGCCCCTTACTGGCCCCACCCATGCCAGGTCCCTCCCCCATGCCCCCTGCCATCCTGGTAAGGTCCTGTTTACACTTCTAGTGCAGTGTGTAGATTAGGAAAAGTAACCTGGAATGCTGCTTTCACAAAGTGATGCAGTGTTTAACTCCTAAATTGTATATATTGTTCTGGGGAAGAAGTAAATTTGGCTGGTGGGTATTAAGTAGGTTGTTTTCGGGAGAATTGGGCTGCAAAGGCATTTTGAGATGATTCATTGAGTTACTAATAATAATGCACAGGGAGAAGAGAAACAAAAATAATAACAATAGCTGCCCACACATGGTATACTTATGTGCTGGGTATCTCAATTAGATCACTTTTCTCACTATCCAAATACATTGACAGTCACATAACCTAGAATCAGCCAATCATTCTCTTTACTGGGATTTTCTCTTAAGTGAAGTGAAGCAAGCACAGTGGAAACTAACATATGTTTATTCCAATATTGACACCCAAGTGAGACAATTTTGACCAACTTGACTGTACCACAGGGTGCCCAGGTATTTGGTTAAGCATTATTCTTGGCGTATCTGTAAGGGTGTTTAATATTTGAATGCATAGACAGTAAAACTTCTCTAATTAATGCCTTTTGCTTAAGTAATCAGAGCCAGATTCTGTGACTTGTGAATGAATCGTTGCTGATAATGAAACAATAAAAGGCGAGTAAATACTATTCACCTTTAACGGTAAAAAAACAAATTATAGAGTTATTAACTAACATAACACAACAGCTAGGTGAGAGAGCCAGGATTCACTTCACTTAACCCTGTCTGCCTAAATCTGAGGTTTGTGCTCTTCCCCCTTTTTTCCCTTTGGGTTTGCCAATTATAAGGTGGCAGAACAGATGCTAGAAACTGAGCTGGTACCTTGAAGGTAACTCTTCAACTCTTGAGCTACAGAAATTCCCAGAGCCAGCAATCTGGCTCAGTCTGGAGCAAAGAAGATGTTAAAAGGTAAGATATTCATTAATCAAAAGGTGATCAATTTTGATATATAGTCAAGTGCCAGACTCTGGGGTTATGTCGCTCGAGAGTAGTGGAAGATAAAATACATCTGTCTGTGGAAGATAAAATACATCTGTTGGTGCCAGAATTATTTGCACTTAGGGGTATTTCAGGCCTATGTTAAAAAAAGAGACTCCTAAAGAATAATCATTCATTCATTGACATTATTAATCACTAGCTCTGTCTCATACACAGAAAGCCATATGTGAAAGACATGATCCTTGACCTCACAGATATTAGTGTTTGCTGGGATTATGATTGCTGTTGACACATACCTTTAATGTCACCTATAGATGGATGGAACTGGCCACAATATGAAATTGTGGTTCCATGTAGAATCGTTACTGGTTCTCATCAAAGTTGTGCAATTCGATATGATAGCTGTTAGCCACGTGGGCAATTTGTACTTGAATTCAAATTTATTAAGATTAAATAAAGTCCAAAAATTCAGTTTCTCGGTCATACTAGCCACATTTCAAGTTCCTCCATCTGGTTAATGATTGTCATGTTGGATGACATATTTCCATCACTGCAGAAATTTTCACTGAACAGCAACAGACTAGTGGATCAAAGAATGAAGATAGTTTAGATATATTCAAATTCGATACTCCTTGTATAAATTGTGGAATGAAGAGTGACTATAGAATGAGATCGTAGTTAGACCAGCTATAAGTAGAAACTTTCAGTTCCTTTTTCAGATAGTATCCCTGCCCCCAACCCTGTCCCTCCGTTTATTAGCTTCCTTTCCCCTCACAAAGGGCATGGAGTAATTGACTTCAGGCTTGATTGCTCTTTTTGCTTCAAGGGTAAGATTTGATCTTAGAAGAAGCCATCATCCAGGGGAGACTCTGCTGTTTCTACAGGAGACTGTATGTGTACATCAACATCTAACAACCACCACAACAGCGAAAACAAGAACTGAAACTTTCCTTTTTGTTTGGCTTTTGGTATGGTGCTAAGCTCGTGGCACACATTTCTCGTGTCTCCCCAGGCACTCAGAGAGTTTGGCATTATCACTAAAGATAAGAAAACCAAGGCCCAGGAAGGTGCCCACGATCACTCAGCTACAAAAAAGATAAATTGGAATTGGAACCTGGGTTTCTTCACCTTTGAGCTTGTTACTGTTTTGTCTATCTGGTAACCTAACATTTTATTGTAAAGTTTAATTTTTTAACAGAATAAGAAACTATTATAATTGCAGATTTTCTTCTTTCCTGTCCTGGCTTCAAATTCAAATTTCAAAACAAATGCAAAACGAAAGTTTAAACTAGAACCATCCCTGCTGAAAAGCCACATGTGTTCTCTTCCTTGGTCTCATTTTTTTCTCTTTTCTTTTCTTTTTTTTTGGTAGCAGCCCCGAGCACATCTTTGCATTGCAGTCCCTGGAATCTCTTCTGTGGAATCTAAAAGAACAGAAGGAGCCACAACTGAGACTATTCCCAGGGTTCCTTCTGCAAACTCAAAACATCATGGAGGGCTATGAAGGATTAAATCAGATCCTGGGTAACCTCCCAGTTGCCCCACACACTCCCATCCTAGGATGGCAGTGAGAGAGAAACAAAATGCAGAAGCTCACTTGAAGTTGGGCTCTTTCCAGTTATAGCCTTGGTGGTGCCA